AAAAAGGCTTTCTTCATTCACCGTTACAATTGCGAATTCTTACCGTGAAACTAAGGTCTCTGTCGATGGATTGCAGAGTGAATGATACTATTAAGAGGTAGAGTCAAAATAACCGTCGTCGTTTAAGAATTTAATCTTGCAATGTTTTGCCTTACGTCAAAGGACTTCGCGCCAATAGGATAACTGAAAAGTCCACCAGACTTTTGAATGAAACAATTATGCCAAAAATTAATGTGGTTGTTTGTTCTCAAGAGGCACACCAAAACGACCAGACCAATTTACTCGTCTGCCAGTCAGACTGCTGAAAACGGGAAAATTATGAGTTGATTTTCATACTGGCTCTTGCCTAAGATTATTCCGTTACTCGGAGTGGCCTTCTGGGATTTAATATGTGCATGCATTTTTTGTGTGGTAAGCTAAAATGTGAACTGAAGAATAATATATAGAAGCTGAGATGTTAATGCTTTATATGCTAGCCATATCCTGTCTAAAATCACGCGATTCAAGTCAAGTGTCAATCAGAGAACTATCGAAGTGTTTAGATTGAAGGCTAGTCTGATTTTAGAAGCGTTTGACAACACGATAGACTACCAGGTGATATGGCACTTTTACACATTTAAGAAATTCTATGAAACATAATTAAAAGTTTGGCATCCATATTTGCAGTCTGTTATTAATTGTAATAAACGGTTGAAAAAGGAAACAGCACTAAGGAGGGTTAAAATGGTTCGTGTTGCTGATCAGCGTCCTTCGTCAATGTTAAAACGTTGTATGCTTTATCATACATGGCCAACTGTCAGATATTGCTACCGGTAAAAAACTTTAGTGGAAAACACAAAGAAGCTGCGTTAGGCAGGAAACATTGGTGGAAGTTAGTCATACCCATAAAACTTCGTGGCGGGCCGATCTGTATGGAGTGTAGAAATTCGCGAATCCCTTTGGGCACATTTGCAATTAGCAGTAGACCGGAAGCTAAGGCAAAAATGCACTTTGTAGGCTGCGTGTTAGCCCAATTCATATTTACAAGTGGACAAACACTGTTGAAGTGTTTCTCTTGAACCTTACTTGCTAAGAGTTCACTGTGCCCATCGAAAAATTCAATATCCGATCTCTCAGGCATGTGACTGACAAAGCAAGAGAAAAATTGAGCTTGTCGGGGCAGGGAATTTACACGAATTCATCACAAGGCTTAATGTTGTGATGTCGTCCCGGGTCATGTCAACTGATTTAACCGGTATTTAGCAATATGCATGTACCAAATCCAGCCTGGAAGACAAAAGTTTGCCTTAGTCTAAGATAAAGGATGATATTTAATGAACTAAAATAGCACCATACAATGTTTTCTTAAACACAAAGCAGTTAAATTCCATGACCAATGTAGCGACTTGTTATTTTAGCATATAAATCCAGGTGAGGCTAGCGTCTACGTCTGGCATCGGTGAAGCAAAATTAACATTCTCTAGCGACATTTATTTACATTTAGGACTTCCCATTATCTGCGGTTTAACGAGTAAGACCAGTCAAAAATGTTTGGCTGGTTTTGCAGACAGAAGTAGATAGGGGTTTGCTGATTCAATTTATAACGTTGTTGTTCATGATACAATTTTAGCAAGGTTGCAATCAGAGTTATATGTGCTTTATGAAGAGGTACATTATTTAAAAGCATTCATGCACGTTCATATTGACTTCTTTCATCTGTGTCTAAATGCCTCGAAGTGCAATTATGGCAGCATTGTACTGAACAGTGATCAATTGTTACTGCTATAAACGTAGCATTCTGCTTTTGCACAGTTTTACAAGATGCTGGTTTAACCTCTCAGCGCACTTGGCGCTTTCTTGAGAGCTTGACCGCGAGATCCGTCAACGTGGGCTTGAGGTCTAAATAGTCATTCTTTCGCAATCAGGTTTGCCAGTACTGCTTTCCTATCTGCGTTCTGAATCTTGAGTCATGTCGATCAATATCTCGAGAGGATCTTCTTGCTTGGGCAGCAAAAATATTTTTTTCCGAAATTATTTATTTTCTTTTAGCATTTGAGGTACATTGTTTGTCAAAAAGCATTTGATAAGATCTCATGGCATGTAGCGTTGCAGGTCGCTAGTCGTCAACCAGAATATAGGTAGTGATGGGCAAGTCGCAGTCCGGACCGGGCAAACCCCTTGTTTTTATTTTACCCCTAATTGAATTTGTCAGCAATTTTCATAATCCTCTGTTTCAAGCTCAGTTAACTTTTAGGTAGAGCTTGGTCCAGAAAAACTGTCATTGGAGGCTTTAATTCCGAAGGTAATTTTTTTGCCTGTAACAGAGGCGTTTGATCTAAACATGCTCAACGGAATAGCACGTTGATAGTATGACTAGAATAGGCATAAAATACCAACCCCAATACATTACACAATAATATCTGGCACATAGTCCTGCTATCCACGAACCACTCTCCTACTTAGAATTTACTAATTTTGATTTAATTCATTATTCAGATATCTTATTGGAGCGGCATTCCACAAATCCTACTCACTGTGACTCGAATTATTCTCCAGTTTTCCTTTTCTACATTCGTTTTATCGTAGTACAAAGAAAAGTGTCCTAACAAGGTCACAACTGATCCCATATTTTCTATGCGCCTTTAAATACACAGTCATACTTACTCTATACCTGCAGATGACCTTTTTTTAATTTTCGGTGGTTCTTGTGATTAGTTTTGAGGCGTCATTTCACTGTTGACAGAGTTTTAGCCCAAGCAACTGTTGAAGAAGGGACAAGAATGTCGTCTTAGTGGCGTATTTTGTTTAACTGGGACAAAAGAATTGCAAAAGTTAGGTTGCTGAATTTAATTTTTAATGGCTTTTGTTGTCTTATAAAAACAATGGCTGTTTATGGCCTTCTTGGTGGTCTGATATGAATTAACTTAAAAATCACGAGTAACGAAAGTTATTACTTTTTGTTATTTATTAAACTTTTAAACAATTGTATTCAACCGGTTCACTTCATTTGAAGAAATCGCTTAAACATACGTGGTAACTTTTATCAGCAATATCATTTTTAGGGATCCAAAAAATGAAAGTATAGTTAGCCTAAATGTGGAATGAATTTTAATGCCAAAATTATCGGGTTTAATACACTTTGATGACGTCGCAAGTAGTTGGACCCTAAAAGAGTTGTGAGTAAATAACATTGAACAAGTATCTAAACTCCATTTACTATTCTACATTAGAACTCAATAACATAGCCTACTAAACATCGTGGTGATGCATGCTTTAATTAAATTGATTGCTGGAACTTAAATTGTCTATCTTTCATTACTCTGATTATTAAGATTTTTCCACGTATAAATTCTCCTATGGCTAATTTGATAGCTGTTTTCATAGATAAATTGAATAAGACTGCCAAAGAGTAGATAGTCTTTCTGACAGACAAAAAATCTGACAGATGGTTGGCTAAGAGGAGAAAAACACGTTAATCTAAAACAACTTGATGCTTGAATCAGGATTATGTAGTATGAATAAAAAGTCAAAGAAAATCGCAAGGTTTTCATGATTTTTTAGGAGTTCCTTAATAAAAGTCGTATGTTGAATACGTTTAACGCCTTCTGATTTCAACACGTACCAGTCATTTCAATACCTAACTGAAACTCACCTTGATGACTGCTTGTTTGAATTCTGGATACCATAGTTAGGCGAGGCAAAATTATGATTTGTGCAAGGAAACCAGTGTGCCCTTTTGAAGTTGGTGATACACGAAGCCAAAGTGGGGCGAAACACATGGCTCCTCATGAACTTTAGTGGCACAATATTGCTTCGAAGGGATTTAGCAGTGGTATCGAATCATAGCACCTATCTACAGAAATTGACTTTTCTGATAATTTGCCGGGGGATTTTGAGTAAGGCTTGATTCAACCGAATCAGCCATGTAGGTCTGTTGTAAAAGCAACAGGTTGATTTGTATCATTCACTAATTACTTGTGATGGATTGCAATGAGAAATTCGGCAAAAGTTGTGTTTCCTCTCATTGAATTAATTATTTAAACAACCCAACGACCTTTTACTCTCTAAAATTGATTTATTTGTAAACCTTTTAAGGCAGACTGAACGCATTTAATCATAATAAACTTTAATACACTTTCCGTCACAAACATCGGTTACAGTTCACTTCGCAACCATCACAAACAACATATTTTCCAGCTTCTGTTTCTCACAAAGCAAATCGCGTTTTACTCATAAACTGTTAGTTGCACTCGAAAAATATGCATGCCTTCACACGATTGATCACCCTATTTTTAGGGGTTTCAAGCACAAGACATGCTACTCATAACGAATTTAACTAAGACAATTGGACGCTTCGTTTGCTGGCAGTGTATCACCGCAGTTTGATTCCGGGTTAAGCTGGATCCAAATGGGTCACGAAAGTATGACCCTAGACCTGCCCTCCCCCCTCCCCCTGGAACGTTATTGGTCGAAATTCGATTAAAAATCCCTTAGGTCGCCAAACTTAAACGTACTTTTGCTTGAGGCAAGTGATAATTTTTGCCAAAATACGAAAAACTTGAATTTTTTATTAGCTTGGTCCACTTTGCTACACGACGCTTTGGTTAAAAAAATGTAAACCGTTCCAATTTCTGAGCGGCTCCCACCAATCATCTTTCAGGAATTGCACTGGCTTCACAAGTCGACGGCTTAGTATATTACATCTCTGGTTACATGTTCATTGCTAAAGGCCTGGCACAGTAATAACTCTATTTTATCAATATCACCTTTTTTAGTGTAGGAAAAGTTCAAAAGTCTTGTCTGCAATGTTTAGATCGACTTATCCATTTTTTAAGCTTTAAGCTCTCTATTTCGATACATAAGTTTTTTTTGTTTGCCAACTAATACAATCATTTTGATAGGTAGAAAAATGCGTGCACACTGCAACATGTGACCGCTGTCATAATTGGTGGACTGTTCGTTAAGACGTCGAGCTTTTATTGATGGTTGTCACGTGCTTGTTGGCACCTAGGCATGCCATTATGTCAGAGCGAGTATCTAGGCGTTCGTTCAATTTGCGCAAGACAGCTACCGGAGTGGATTTTCAAATTCCCATCAATTTCGAGGAGACTTTCAAGGACGCAAAACCGCCAGTTATCCCTCCTTTAATAAAATCCATATGCGAGGAAATCATTTCAAGGATAGCCACACGTCAGTTGAGTATCCTTCCTGGTCCTTTAAGCACCCTCTTTTCTAACGCTGATGCTTTGGCGGGGAATTTACGAAGAACAGCCGAAGTCGATGAGGTAATTAAGCTCCTTCACTCTTCCAATAAAGGGATTTCCGAAAAACAGCGAATGGTCAAGCGCAAAGCAGACCTCGAACCCTATCAAACAAGCGTCATTACTCGGGCCATGTTTCGATACATCGAGCTCAGTTCAGACGGTTTGGCCCTGACGATCGAGTTCCCAGCCAACGGTTATTTGATCCTTGGCCCACCCCCATCCAAGAATGATGGGAAGCCAGATGTTAAGTCGTACACCCGCTCATTGGATTCATTTATCTCCAAGGCTTTGAGTAAAAATCCAATAAAGCGTGATATTTTTTGCTACTTCATGCAGTTTTTATCTCAATTATATCAGTTAATGGGCGACGGTTATCGGTCCGAGCCAGCGCTATGCGGAATGACCCGCTACCTACTGGCTAGCCGCTTTGCTAACGATTTGATCAATCTCCACTGCACCGAGTGTAGCAAGGAAATCAAAGACGGCCACCGGGGATGTAAGGCATGCTCTTACGTGACGGCTAATCTTAAGCCGCCCTATCGACCACGAGTAATAAACATACTGCTCGAGTACGTTCCCATGTCATATTGGAAGGACATGTTAACAACCCCTCGTGGTGGATTCATGGGACGAGGGGGAATAACCACCAAACTGGACGACCTCAAATTTGTTACCGCACTCAAACTAGCCTCAGATTCGGGTGACACTGGAAAAAAAAAGAACCCTATCGAGCCACTCCGGCGCAATCCCAAGACGGCCCAAAAATTGGCATCACACGGATCAACCGAAAACAATGGAATCGATCTTCAAAATGTTGAAGGCCCACGAGAGAACTCAGTGGAGAAAACTAGAAAGCAAACTGAAACTGAAGAAGTCAGAAGATCGGAAATAGAAGGCAATGCAGATCAGGAAGTTGTTAGAAAATCTAACATTAAAAGCATGAATGTTGGCGGTAGGGAACGTGCTGCTGCCTCAAAAAACGGCTCACTTGCATCTCCAGTCTTTAGCCGCAAAAACATCAGCATGAATCTTACACGCTCGAACCTTTTTATTACACCCAAGTCCTCGGTTACTGAGTCAACTGATTCGTCCTCAACTGATAGAACCTCAACGTTCCGTCATGTCGCAAGCATAAGAAAAAAGAAAAAGGACAAAAGAAGGAAATCGCGGTCGCGAAATCGGCAGCACAAAAAAAGCGTTTCCCCAAGAAAGTCTCGAACAAAAAAAAGGGCTTCCAGTAAAAAAGCAAATAATCGAAGAAAAAGAAGAAAATCAAGAAAGCTTAAGAGAAGTCGGAGCAGAAAGTCGTTTAGAAAGTCGACCCATCGGCAAAAAAAGGCTAGAAAAAGGATCGGACGTGGGTAATAAAGACGATGGATACATTGTACAGAGATTAATTTTTTTAATGATAATTATCAACCATTGATAATATTTTCACCTACATTAGATGGGTTAATAAGAACGCGATTTTGATGGAAGGTAAAAAAATTCTTTTGATCTGCGCTAAGTTCACTGGCACTTAAATTGACTAGAATGGACAGATTAGACCTTTCATGTTCGCTGATTGAAATGGTATGGCGTATTTCGTGCAGATAATTTGCTTTACACGAAAATTGGAGAAAATTGGAGTGGATTGTAGCGTACCCTTGCTTGACTGATGAACCAAGGTTTCACTGAAAGCTGATTCGCGGTCAAAATTAAAATGTCATCAGCTATGTTAAAATCTACCACATTAGGTTTGGTTTGACATCTTTCCTTCTTATCATGGAATGAGCTCTTTCAGTATAAAAGCTTCACGTTGCCAAGATTTCTTTAAATACTGCCTTATTCATGCTATCCCTTATTACATTTAAAACAATTTATTAGTGGGCGATTAGGTTTTTTGGAGTAGAAACCTATTTCCTAGTTACCAGCTCTGGTATTTCGATGCCAATCTTTGAATATACAAATCTATGCATTTTAAATGATATCAAACCAACGAAATCCCAATTATGATGGTGACCGACTGCACTAGTTTAGTAAAAAATGATTTACCATATTTAAGATTAAAAATATTTAATTTATCACAGTGCAACAAGAAAAAAAGATCATTCCGGTAAAGTAAAAGCGAACAGTTGAGTTGGTGGTGTTATCGATTACTAGGTGTCCCCAAGAAATAAGGAATGACAAGATTATCTGTCTAAGTGAATTTTTTGTCAATTTTAGGCATTATAGCTAACTCAGATTTAATACTCGGAAATTAATGAAAAAGAAAACTCCTTTAAAGTTGTATTGAAAGGCTGACGTGTTACGAGAGAAGCACATGGTCGATGACTGCTGACTATGGCCATGAGCTTCTTAAACCAATTCTATGGCTTCGAATTACACTTTAAATCAGTTCATTTTCCTCGGCAAAAAAACCAATTACAAAAATGCTCCTTACAGACCAATTAAAATGGTTGCAATCTAACCTTCCGTAATAGAAGAGTTTTCCAAGTAGTCTGTGGTATGACTGTCATCCACAGATCATATATCAGCTTAGTCTGGAGGACGTCCGTGCGTGACGTACAATGAATCGTGCTGATTCACATCCATTGATCTGCTTGTCACATTCAGCGCCACGCTGACCTCCCGCACGCTACCCGTTTCGCACATGTGGCCATTCAGTCATTTATCCTTATACAGGTTCACCTAGACCGTATTGGCCAGCAACCCGCATTATTTGGAAACAACTTTTTATGCCCAATAGCGCAACAGTTAGAACTTGCTTGCGACATCGAATAAACGGTTGGTTCTTTCTCCTCTCTTACTTTGGTATTGCACATTGTATCTTGCCTCAACAGACGTTTAAAGGCAATAATAATGTTTTTCCTTCCATGTTGTCTAACTTAATAGTTGACTCTAGAACAATGCATCTTGTTCTTTAATGGATCCCTGTGTTCTTCATTTCCTTCAATTCTTGAATCTTTACAACTGTGAAATTGCAACCCGAAGTACTCAGGGGAGGAATAAGTCCGGAGAGGAAAAGAGAAGCAACCGTTTATCAGAGATCTCAAACAGGTAGTTGCGTGGGGTCTGTGCGTATGTATTCATAGCCCAGATGTGCGAAACAGTGTGTCACAGATGTGCTAACATCGTGGCTTATAGGGATTTGTTAACCACATAGAGTGTTAGCCCAGGATAAACTATCGCCTTAATAAAATAAGAGTTGACGCGTCCTCATGGCTGCCATCATGCAGTTAACAGATAAAAATTTTCGGAAAAGACACGTTTCTGTCCCATTATTTGACTTCGGGCCACCAGGGCCTGATTAATGGGTCACACAAAGCAACTCAGGGAGAACCAAATAGTCTACGCAATAATGTAACAAGTGACTTGGGCTAGCAAATTTTGTCCATCAAAGCTAAAATACCCTATCTAGATACGAAATTTGGCCTACTTGGTTACTTTGCCAAGACCCAAAAGACACTAGGTCGTTATAAATGTGAGATTAAATTTGAATAATCAAACATCCTTACACTCATATCTGCAACCAAACATTAAAAAACATTAAAATCCATCTGCTTTTTCTCATAGAAAATGTCACCTTCTCATGAAATTAGATATGGTCTACTTAATATATTCAAACCGAATTCAACGCAATAGCAGCAATTTAATTGCTTCAAATTGTATTGTGTTTAACCTGCAATGGCTATACTGCAAAATTTCAGAGTGATGGTCTAACCTAAAATCCAGACTATTGCACAGTAATATAAAGTTATTAAAGGCAAGTCTCAAGCACAATTACATGAGCAAATCACTTTTGAGTCATTCTAGCTACAAGTCTATGCAAAAACGTCTTCAAGTTCTATAAAATTGGTGATGACTGTCAGCATGATGTCGCTGAATTTAGCCCTTCATCAATAAATATATGTTGGCAGTTGTTTCGTACAGGTTATTGGATTTAAATTTATTATTTGTTAACAAAGGATAAATGCTATGTTTTTAGAGGCAGTTTCAAACAACCTTTTGAAAATAATGAAATCAACAGTATTCATCATTCAAATTTTATTTCTATGATAATCTGCAACATTGTTTTTTTTACTTACGAATCTTCACACGACAGCTCCACTGAAATATATTACAGCCAGTTTATTAACTGTCCATGATATTTTACTTTGATTTTACGCGTCAAGGTCGTGGGTGCGAACTTGAAGGGGAATTTGGATGTTTTGCTGGTCCTTGGTGAGCTACCTCCAAAATTTTTGGGAAATGTTCTGTTTTAAAACCATTGTAATTTACTTGCGTTTTTTAGTTTTATTGATCTAAGAATAGTTAGTGAACAGGCCCTGATTAACAGAAACTTTCCGCTACTTGTAACTGCTCCACATTGCTCCATGTACATAAATATTATCCTTAACTACCACTATGTTTGGCTGCCTCTTAACAAACTTTGTTTATTTTGATTTTTTAAAATAATGAATAAAATAACATCCTGTTGTGCCTGCATAGAATCTGTATTTTTTGGAAATGTCTGAATTTTGCCTGCTGTAAAGCCTAGTTAAGATGGATTGTTACTTGAGCGTTTACGTCACCGTTCGGTAATTGGACTATTTGGCATTTCAATTATTTAAATATTTTAATTGTATTACCAGCAGAAAGTCGCGGCCACTTATGGTTGACGGAGATAATTCTATTATAACAGGCCTGGGCTCTCGTTTTTGTCCCCATGGCTGTGTATGGATGTGAAATAGATTTTCTGTTTTCTCGTTTATGAACTCGACATGCTGGAATCTTTATAAAATAAGTAATTAGATGGGAAGTTATTAATAAAATAATCTTAATTAGTGGGATCGTGTAATATTCTGTTTACGTCTTGGTAAAACTTTTATGAACAAGTTCTTAAACCACAATTTTAAATTAGAATAGACATTTTCAAAGGTAGAAATGGTCGTATTGTGTATTTAATGAAATTATTTTAGCTGTTATTTCCAACACCGCCACTCAGTTCCTTGTCCCTTCTACAGTTTCAGGGCACTCATGTTATAACACTAACCAAAAACGAGATTACTTGCTTGTTAATTCTTTATCTAGGCTCTCATTGATAGTGCCTTTGTTTCTCCTCGTCTCTTTCCTTCATTTCAAAGTAAGTTTAAATTCGTGGCACCTATTTTCAGGTAAATATTTTTAGATTTATACCTTCCTAACACAATCTTAAATGGCATTGAAACCGGGTACCACGCAAATTATTAAGGGTACGTTAGTTACTCATTTTGTTCCCCAAATTATTAAACTGTCTATTAGTGACTGGTTCTGTTTAAATAAAGTACGTTAATACGTCTTTGATTAACTTAACTTCTCGTTGTACCACGTGTTCTGCCAGCTGTTATTTACAGTAATCCTCAGGTCGAAACATCGCATTCTATTGCTGAAATATCTCGTTAAATATATAGTGCTTTGGTGACATATGGTATTAGTTCCGGCAGTGTCGTTCATACCTTGATTTTCGCCTTTCGTATAATTTTATATCCTAACCAGAAAAGGTCTTATAATTGCTGTTCACCCACACCTGCCACACAATAAATTAGAAACTGACCATCCCCATACATCCTTGTTGACGCTGTTATATCGGGCTCAAATTCCAACTCCCAAGAAAAACTCTGCTGACTGTTTACTTGGGGTTTGATATGAAATTTCGTTAATTTATTCTCTTTGATTAGATTTTCCATCCCAGATCTGGTGCTTCCGGTGTGCATAACAATTTTAGTAGGTATTTGCTTTATCCGGCTTCATTTGCGGATGTTGTTCCCAGTAACATATTCCAGATATATTTATATGACTTCCTGACTCATCGTAGAAAATATTGTAAAGGTTATCTTTTTTTATTAATACAGACACTTTTGATCCGTGTACACAAAACAGACTTGCGGCGTTTATGTCTCTGTGGTCGTCACTGCGTGATGAAAAACTGATCGCGGAAGAACTTTGTGATATTCTGTTAGTAGAATACAAAAGCAATATTCTTGAAATTCAAAGGCTTTGGATTTTATGTCTTATTCAGCTTTGTGCAACGTACAACCCATTAGTAAAAGATACTGTTAAACAAAAGGCATTTTTGGCCCAGATTATCCGTATGAGTTCGTCCAATAAATTACGTCAAAAAGTATTCGTGCTCTACAAGGTTTGTCAAGCACTGTAAAGTTATGAAACCACTTTAGACCCTTAATATTGATTGTTTATGGGGACGTGAGGTGGAAGATCAAGTTGTGAATTACTCGTGGAT